GTTACAACAATAACAATATTTTAAGAATCAATTATGTGTGTGAATGTGTCATCAAATGGCTATGGCAAAGGTCAAAGTGTATACCAAATATAAAATAAGGATAAAAATGACTTGAAGATAATGTGAGAGAGAATGTATTAACTCCAACCCATCCTATTTCAATGAGCTGTCAGTTCCAAAAAACAAGCAGACAAAAGTAAAGGTACTGATTGACTCTCTCTCTCTCTCTCTCTCGTAAGTTCAATTAATGCAAAACAGCTGCTACAACAATTTTTAAAAAGCCAAAAATCACCCAAGCAAACACAAAAACCTCTCAAACAAGTGATGAGACACAGAAGCAGTAAGAAGGGCAACGATGATTGAGAACACAGATTTATGTGCAAACTCTCCAAGGCAGAAGGCAGCAGACCCATGAGCCACAACATCTTCTACAACAATGAAGAGTGGCTGGGGAGAAAATGAGACGTGAAGGGTAGGCCACATGGAGGGAGCACTCTAGATGACATTCACAGGACAAAGCACAGATGCTCATCAGATAGGATAAACGGAACCACCGCTTCAGGATCAGATATGCTATGTAAGAAACTGGTCCCAGGACACAAGATGAAATCAGGAAGACTGTTGATGTACACAAGAATCAATTTTAAGTATTTCTCAAATAGAATAAGATTCAAAGAAAATGCATGAGAAAAACAGTACTTATCACACTTTTACAAGGGAAAAAGTAGATGAAAAGAATCTCAAATACATCATCTAGTGCTGAGTAATTATGAACAAAGTTGGCCCCAGAGAAGAATGGACAGAGAACGAGGCGACTGCAGGGGCCAATGGTATCTACCTATCATACACAGTCACTGAGACACTTTTGTTTAACTATTTTTCTTTGCTGCAAGGAAGGGTTAATCTAAGAGACAGAAGTATATAAATGTATATAAAAGTACATAAAGTATATAAATGACTTTGATATAAAAAAAGTATATAAAACATTGATTTTTTTCTACAATGGATACATTAGCAATTACTGACCCATGTACTTGCTTTTTCATCTCTATGATATCTTTATTAAAATAGCATATGCAAGAACTAAAAATAGACATAAGGAAAACAAAAAGGGACTGGAAAGCAGAGTGCTGTTGTGGAAAGTCTACTGGATATGGAGTTAGAAGATCCAGTAATTAGCACAGTGCCCAGCACACAGCAGGTCTTAATAAACGGGGGAAGAAGTAAGCATTTATATAGCACCAACTATATGCCAAGCATGGTACTAACCATTTCATAAATATTATCTCATTTGATCCTCACAACACAACCCTGCAAAATAGTGCTACTATTATCCCCTTTCTATAGGTGAAGAAACTGAGGCAAACAAAGGCAAAATGCCTTGCCCAGGGTGACATGGAGAGTAACAGTATGAGGCGAGATCTGAACTCAGGGCTTCCTGACTCTAGGTCTAGCACTTCATTCAGCTGCCTCATAATAAATGCTTACTGACTGACTGACTGGGCTTGAATCCCAGATCTGGAACAAACTGCCTATATAATATTGGATAAGTAACAACCTCTCTGGGAATGTCTCCTCATTTGTAAAATGTAGACTTTGGACTAGATCACATTCTGAGGAAACTTCTATCTTTCAATCTCTGTTCTTGATTTCACTGACAATTTTCTACAGAAGGAGAACTCTTTATAATCACACACCTGAAAAGGCAGTGTAAAGAATATGTAAATGCTGAGTTTACTGTTCATTAGAAAAAAATTTTACTTTGTAGAGCTTTGAGCTTCCAGTTTCTCTGCAGATAAGGTGTCTCCTATGTTGTGTCTAATGTTTCACTGAACAAGCTGGGAGTGTTTGGAGAGCTCTCTCTTCTCCCCATCCCTTGTCTCACACTATCTCCTCCTCTGCCATCTCACAAGAAAAGGTGGCTCTTCTTCTTCCTAAGGCAAAGCTCTCTACATGCACAAGTGACTGCACTCAATCTTGTCTTCGTCAGCATGTGGCCTGCGTCATCATCCCACTTTCTGACTTCTATCTCTTTCTCTCTGTCTATTGGGAGCCTGCCAACTGCCTCTACTAGAACTGCCCACATCTCCCTCATCCTCCAAAAGCCCTCACTTCATCTGCCTATCCCCACTAGCTATTGCCTCATGTCTCCTCCCTTTTGTGGCTAACCTCATGGAGAAGGCCATCCAGAACTCCTTTCCTCTCACTCTTTGCCTCCTTAACTCTCCACAGTCTGGCCTCTGGCCTCATCATTCCCCCTACACTTCTCTCTCCAAAGCTCCAAGCTCTCTTCATTTCAGTTCTCATCCCTGCTGACTTCTGGCCATTCGTTGACTCCATAGCTCACCTTCTTCTGGGTCCCCTCTTCTCCTCCTCCAGGCCTGACAGCTGCTTCTGGGCTCATGTTCACCCAGATCACGCCACTGAGGATCTGTCTGGGGCCCTCTTCTTGTCTCCCTTGTTATCTTTTCCGCTGCCATGGATTCAATTATCATCTCTCTGTTGCTGATTCTCACATCTGCTTACCTAGGCCTAACCTCTCCTAACCTGCAGACTCACATCCCTATGTCAACTGCCTATCTGACATCTCTAAATAGATGCCCCAAAGACATCTTAAACTCAACTGTATTCAAAACAGAACTCTTTACCAATCCCCACTCCCAACTTTCCCCTCTTCCTAAATTTCCTATTACCGTGAAGGGCACTGCCATCTTCCTGACAAGGAATCTTCCAGACTCACAACCTAGTTGTCATTCTCAACTCCCTACTCTCTCACCCTCCATATCCAATCTACTGCCAAGTACTACTAATTTCACCTTTTTAATATCTCTCATATTTGCTCCCTTCTCTCCCCCAACACTGTCACCACCCTGGTACTAGTACTGAATTCCTGAAATATCTTCCAGTTGGTCTCCTGATCTCAAGTCCACTCAAGACCAATCCACTCAGCTGACAAACTGGTCTTCCTAAAAGGCAATATCCTAAAAGTCCATATCACCTCCCCCTCCTATTGATTTCAGTAAATCCCAGGGCTTTCCATGACTTCCAGGATCAAATATAAAATTCTCTCTCTGGCATTCAAAGCCCTTTACAACCTACGTCCCTCCCACATTCCTAGTCTTCTTACATCTTATTCCTACCCCCACCCCCCAATCCCATCCAAACACTCTGTGATCCAGTGACACCAGCCTTCCTAATACAAGACTCTCCCCTTCCCCATTCCCTGCACTTTGACTGGCTGCCCCCTTGCCCAGAATCCTCTGCCTCCTGGCTTCCCTGGCTTCTTTCCAGTCCCAGCTAAAGTCCCACCTTCTACAAGAATCCTCTCCTGAGAGCCCTTAATGCTTCCACCGCTCGGGCTGATCAACCCCAGACTGTCTTATCTATATCCGGTTTGTACTTGGGTGTTTGCATGTCATCTCTGCCATTAGATTATGGGCTCCTTGAGAGCAAGGACTGAGTTTTTCCTCTCTTTGTGTCCCCAGTGCTTAGAGCAGTGTAATAAGTGCTTGTGGGCTTGACTGACTATGCAAAAAATAATACAAAATTCTACGACAGGCGGAGCCATAGAGATAATTCTACCCAATGACAGACTAAGTATTGACCTCAAGTGACAAGTCACCAGGGAGATGTTCACCTAAGACATGAACAAGTATCATGGCTGTTGTTCTTCAATGAGTGAAAAAAAGAAACTCTACTGATTTAAAAAAAAAAACAAACATTTTCTTTAAATGTTCCTACCTACAAGTTTCTGATGGCATTGTACTACATGCATCACTCTCCCATATACTACAAAGACACTCCTCAGTGCCACTCACAATGATAAAAGAGACATTAGTATTACTATCCACACAGAAAAAAAACAAAGTAGATGAAAAGCCAAACTGCTAAGATCATTCTATGCAGTCAAACAAGTACGAAAAAGGGACAATGAGAGGTACCCAGCATTGTGTAGATGAACATATGGTTATATTGCATTTAGGAAAGTACAGAGCTTTCAAGGCTCCCAAGCTGCTTATCTTCACAAATCTCTGTATCTTAATATCAAGATGCTTCCACTGATGCCTCATCATTGTGAATCATCTGGGCCACTGTTCCCATAGGTATGACAGTCACAACTACTGAAGCCCCAGAAAAGGAAGCACTTGGTACCATACTCTTGGCAGCATCCAATGGCTCCAATCAGAAACGACTATGACCTTATCAGTGGAGAGGATATTTCCAATGAGGCTTTACTGACGGCTTTCCCACTGCACCGTAAGGTCCGTCTGGCTTGCGGCTGAAGCTCTCCCTCTGTGCCATCTCCGCCAGCAGACAGTGAACTCCTTGAGATCAAGGACTATTTGACTTTTCCATTTGTCTCCCCAGTGCTTTGTACAGCGTTTTAAACAAAATAAATGTTTTACTCATTAATTCATTCATTCATGGATCAACTAAGTGGTGCTGTGGACAGAGTGCTGAACTAAAATCGGGAAGACATGAGCTCAAATCTGGCCTCAGGTATTTACTAGCTGTGGGACTCTAGGCAAGTCATGAAACTTCTGTTTGCCTCAATTTCCTCCCTGGTAAAATGGGAATAGTAACAGCCTCACAACCCTAAAGGGCTGGTTGTGGTAAACACCAAGCGCGATAGTATTTGTAAAGTGCTTAGTACAGCGCCTGGCACGTAACAGGTACTTACTAATTCTTATTCCCTTCCCTTCATGGACCATTACAACCTCAGAAGAAGTAAAATTACAAATAGCATAAAGGACAAGGAAAAGCAAACACTGAGCACAGACAGGTTGTAGTACGTTAATATGATAACATGAGTAATGATAAACATGAATGACCAGTACAAGAGAGGCACTGAAAACATCCTGAGAATAAGAATGGAGACTGATACCTTGAGTGATCTACCATTATTCCTAACATATTTTTTTTTTAAAACCCAACCAAAACCAAGGCATCTGACCCATTGGGAGGACACGTGAATTCTTGAAAGATTCTTTGCGTCTTACCCAAAATTTAAACTTCTTCGAGCATTTGATGTCACACTGATTCTATCCGTTGATGGGCTGGGAATTACATGACGTCCTGGAGACATTTTCTTTACTTCCCATGCCAATGAAGTAGGTCTGCAATTCAAGAAAAAAATTAACGCATTAAAAATGAAAATGTAATATTTTAGTTGCATTTTTGTAGGTCAAAATAGGACCATAACTTTACTGTGTCTAAAGTACTGCTCAAGAGGAAGTTTACCAGGATGTTATTGACAAACAGCAAAGACATCCAGCCTCATGTTGTAAGGGAGACCTAGAGCTAGCATTTAGAGATCGCTTTATGATTTGCAATGTGCTTTACACATGGTATCTCAGTGGACTCTGTTACAGCATATCTGGGGTATCAGGAATCAGCAGAGTATCTCGCCCTTCACTCCCAATCAATCAGGTCCTTCCTGATTTGGATTTCTACAAGCCACTCTCGATCCTACTCTCATCTTCACAATTAGCAATATGTCTCATCTGTCAAATAAATGAAAAGGGTATGACACTGAAGACTGTTGTCTTGGCACTGAAATCTGGACTCTACTACACTATATTAGAAGGTTTCCAGAATTCCTAGTGATGTCAAAGTGAGCTAATGAGAATAGAAGTCTGCAGGATGCTCAGCAGTTCGGGTCTTACAGCCTAGTGCACCATATCAGAAAAACATGGAGTCAAGTCCAGCTGCCAGCCTTTAACCTCATAACCAAAAATAAGATGATAACTGTGTCAGGACAGAATATCATTACCTGCTTTGAGCATCTGCCTTCTCCAGTTTTTCTTGAAGCTGTATCCAGTCAATTAGTGCTTTAAAATCTCTTACATAGTTATCCAGCATCATCAGCACCTCCTGATTAGGGAAGAAAACGTTTCTTATTTGAGAAGAATGAAAATCCAAGGAAGGCCCAAGTGTTAAATCAAACTTCTTAGGAACCAACCAATTTTTTGCATTATCCTTTCATGCAGGGTACTAACACAGCCTTCCGGATTTTTCCTATTCACTAGCCATAGAGGATTGAGAATACTGAGAGGAACAGTTCAGAGAACTTAAACCCTTCCAAAATGGTCATTCAAGCTCACAAGATGCGGACAAAGGTCTTCTACTCTGTAGAAAGTGACTATGGGCAAGTCCACATGGGCATCTGCTAGGTCCAAGTAAATTAAGCAGGATCCTTCTAAAATTCTGGTTCCTTTAAGGAAAGCATTGCCATGGGTCCAACTGTCATGTAACCATTTTTAATTACAACTCTCTGAAGTAAAATTTGAAGGAGTCATTAATTTAAGCTCCATCCAATTCAGAAAGCATAAAACTGGAGAACTAACCAGACCAGCTAATATACAAAACTGCCAACTACATTATGAATATAAAATATCAATTAACAATAGTGTGTAAACTGGCTAACGTGGAAATATGTTTTGCAGGACTCCATATGTACAGCGGGTATATTTCTTGACTTCTCAATGGATAGGGAAGGGCAGGTGGAGGAAGAGAGAGAATATGGAGCCAAGGGAAAGAGCTCTTCACTTGGGAGCTGAGGTGTTCTCCACCCAAATTTTGGTTTAAGCTCACTGTGAGTTTCAAATGAGATAAATGATATCAATCTCTTTGTAATTGGAAAGTCCTGTGGGAATTTTGGATTGTGTCCTGAAGCTCCTCTTGGTCTCTGCTTTTCCCCAACCCAACACCAGGTAAGCTGTCAGAACCCTACAGCCTCCAACTGTCAACCAGGAGGAGATCCTGAAGCCCAGGTGGTAGAGCAGGCAAACACCAACACCTGGACCTCCAAGTGCCTCAGTGAGGGAGGGGAAACCAGTGGAAACCAGCTCAGAAAACCACAAGGTGCCTCGGCACTCTACCACAAAGGAATCTCCCAGTGCATTAGCAGAAACAAGGGAGGCAGCATTGCAAGGGGCCCCAGGCAGATAAACACCCTGCAGCACCCATCTAAAAGGAGCTGAAGAAAGCTAAGGGAAAGGAAAGCAGGCAACCTAGAATTGCCTGAAAGTTCCAGCCTTGCTGATTCCAGCCCAACACAGGTAAGCTGCCAAAACCCTACAGCCTCCAACTGCCAACATAAGAGGCCCCAGCACACAAAGCCAGTGACCAAGACCTAGGCTCCCAACACAAGAAGCTTGGGTCACTGCCCTCTGTTCCCCAGCAGGAGAGCTCAATCTCTTTAAAGGCCAGAGAATAAAGAAACCATGAGTAAAAAGAAACATACCATAGATTCATATTATGAGAAGGGAAGATCAAGACAGAAATTCTGAAGAGGACAACATTGTCAAAACCCACATCTGCAACATCAAAAGGGAATATGAACTGTCTGAAGCCCAAAAAGCCTTCTTAGAAGAGCTCAAGAAGGATTTTAAAGTCTAATGAGAGGTAAAGAGTCCTTAAAAATACAATTGGCCAATTGGAAAAAAATACACTGAAGAAAACAAGTCCCTAAAAAACACAATTGGCAAACTGGAAAAAAAGTAACTGAAGAAAACAAATCCCTTAAAAATACAATTGGCCAACTGAAGAAGGAAGTACAAAAACTAACAGAAGAAAACAATCTGTTAAAAACTAGAATTGGACAAATGAAAACTAATGACTCTATGAGAAAGCAAGAATCAGTCCCACAGAAACAAAAAAATGAAAAAATGGATGAAAACATAAAATACCTCATTGGTTAAAACAACCGACCCGGAAAATTGATCCAGGAGAGACAATTTAAAAATCATTGGACTACCTGAAAATCACAATGGAAAAAAGAGCCTGGACAGTATCTTTCAGGAAATCATAAAGGAAAACTTCCCAGAAGTCCTAGAACCAGAAGGGAAAATAACCATAGAAAGAATACACCAGTCACCACCTGAAAGAGATCCCAAATTGACAATGCCAAGGAATATAATAGCAAAATTCCAAAATTACCAGATGAAAGAGAAGGTGCTGCAAGCAGCCAGAAAGAAACAATTTAAATATCATGGAACCACAGTCAGGATTACACAAGACCTTGTAGCTTCTACATTAAAAGACCGCAGGGTGTGGAACATGATATTCCATAAGGCAAAGGAGCTTGGATTGCAGCCAAGGATCAACTACCCTGAAAAAATGAGCATGATTTTTCAAGGGAGGAGATGGATATTCAATGAAATAGGGGACTTCCAAACCTTCCTCATAAAAAGACCAGAGCTCAACAAAAAATTTGATCTTCAAGTACAAGATTCAAGAAAGACATAAAAAGGTAAATGGACAGAAAGACATAAAATGTTGTTAATAAGGGTGGACTGTTTACATCCCTACAAGGGAAGATGACACTTGCAACTCTTGAGAACTGTATTGTTATTACACCATGTTAAAGGAGTATACATAAAGGGGGTGGATATTAGTTGACTTTGATGTAATGATAAAAAAAAATCTAATCAAGTGGGTTAAATGGATCCAAGTAAGTGGATTAGTCTGATCTTAGAAAATGTACTGAGAAAGGAGGAGGCAGACAAGGGTAAATTACATTACAGGAAAAGACAGAAAATCCTATTACAGCAGAGGGAAAGAAGGGAGGGGGTGAGCATTGTTTGAACCTTGCTCTCATCAGATTTGGCTCAAGATGAAAATAACATAATAAGTTAGGTATGGAAATCTAACTTGCCCTATGGGCAGTAGGAGGGAAAAGGGGAAAGAGAAGGGAGGGGGATCAGGAAGAAGAGGTGGGGGCAAAGGGGAAGAGAGGAGAGGGGGATAATAGAAGGGAGGAGAGCCTGAAGGAGGCAGTGGTCAAAAGCAAAGTACTGGTGGGGGGAAGGGAGAGAGGAGAAAGAAAAGCATAAACGGGAGAAAAAAGGATGGAGAAAAAGACACAGATAGTAATCATAACTATGAAAGTTGAATTGCTATCTTTTTTTTCTCTTCTGTTGAGTTTTGTTTCCTCTTTCTGATGGTTCCTCCTGTTGATTTTAATTTTTACTTACAACTTCACTAATGTGAAAATATGTTTAATAGGAATGTAAATGTATAGCCTATATCAGATTGTGCACCGTCTTGGGGGGGGGGGAAGGGGAAAAAAATTTTAAACCCAAAAGCATATGGAAGTGATTGTTGATAAATCAAAATAAATTAATAAAAATTTTTAAAAAATACAACCTCTCTGCTGTCAATGAGTTTCCAAAGACAGAAGAAATTAAAAATGAAAGTCTATGACAGGGAATCCTTCTAAAATCTGCTTATTTGACTCAGTAGAAAAGATCCCTACTGTGCTCTACTGCACACATCTGTCATAATTATTGTTATTTTACTTCTAATTCTCTTCTTTGGATAATCTGAAATTACAGTAGTATGACACCGTATAATGTTCATCTGGTAACAATTATACTTGGCCCAATTCATATATATAAGGATAGCAAAGGGAGTTTGGGGAAAAAATAATAAGAGAACCTTCAACTGACGTATCCATTCCTCTTCCTAAAGTAAGAGCTGTGTGATTGGCACAAAGATAACGGCTACAGTTGAAACTGAAGCGCCTGATATGTTGCAGGTATTTGGGATTTATTCACCATAATAGTCATACATACCAATCTTACACTGTTGGGAAAGGTTCGTTTTTCTAATTTCCCCATGGAAAATATGAAGCAAGTAGGAAGATTACTGTCATCTGGTTCAAAAACCAACACCTTCCTAAAACAATTTTCAATCACCTCTCCAGTAGCACTGAATTTTCACTATGATTCTATAACAACTTACAGATACTACCCAAAATTGTGAAGTACAGACTCAGACATGCCAAAAATTTCAAAACTAATGCTTAGTAACAATATTATTTCATATTTAAAAGTTACACTTCCCTTAAAAAGAATTCCCTAAACAAAAAAGTATTGTTTTCTTCCTATCAAAGGCAATTCTTGGTGCCAATCATTGGTAATAAAAGTCTAGTACAATCAAAAAAAGAACAAATTAAGTATTTTAACAGACTACCTTCTCTCAATTCTATGAATACAATTTTTACTCTTTAAATTCATTCAGCTTAAATCACTCACATTAGAGATCAGAGAGATTTCATTCAGAATAATTTATTAAGGAAGTTTGCTACTGATTTCACTTTTTTTGTTGTTAGAAACTGAAGAATGCGCAATATAAGCAGTTGCATTTATTTGTGATACTACAGTTGGCCCACAGAAAGTACATTGATGGCTTAAACAACCTATTTTAAGGAATGTTTAGCTCAACATTATCAGAAGGGATCAGAGCAGTACCATGCAGCTGTAATCCGAGTCATGTTTTAGGAACAAGGGAATACAAACAAGACAAGCAGCTGGAGTGGCCCCATACTCACTGATGCACATCTTTCTCCCTAAAGCTATGAAGGCCATTTTGTCAAGCAGGATGAAGCTGAACAAAAGTAGCTCTGAAAGCAACATTACAGGCATCCAGATAACGACATATAGATGTACAGCTAAAATTACCAATTAGTTTACCAATTGGCTGCAACGGATTCGATTGGTTTGTAATTCATTCTGGTTACTGGCGCATACAGCAGGCTGGTTGGCGCCATCCCTTTGTCCTACTGACACACAATACTGGGGCCCAGGACATCCCGGCAGTACTGAGTGCAGTGGGATATACCCAGTGGTGCTGGAGCAAAGGAGACTTTCATCATGTAGCAAGCAAGGCCCCAACAAAAGAAAGCCTGCAAATGAGCAGGAACTCTACAAGACTCTCAGTAAGCTTTAAGAGTCGTTATTTTTTCAGAACAACCTGGGCCCATCTGGAAAGAAAATGTCCACTGTACAGTTTTCCTAAAGGACTAATAAGAATAAATCCACCAGATGCTTTAAATCACTCCTCTGAAGTGCCTCTTCCATCCATTTTGA